TTTTTACATAGGAGTCCTTTATTCATCATGTTTTATAAAGATTTCTCTCCCAGCTTACAGCTTGTCATCACACCAAATTAGGAGCCTTTAAAAAATCACTAGTAACTGGGAAATATTTGAGTATAAATCTAAGGTAGACCTAAGAAGTAACTATGAAATCTCCACCAAACTCCAAGTCACAAGATGTTTCTTTTTAAAAATATTATGCATATGGGTTTCAAATAGTGCTACAGCTGAACTTTCTCAGCCAGGCATTGGTGGCACACATCTTTAATTGCAGCATTCAGGAGACAGAGGGAGGCAAATCTCCGTAAGTTGAAAGCCATCCTGGTCTACAGAGAGAGTTCCAGGACAGCCAAGACTACACAGAGAAACCATATGTGGAAAAATAAAAACAAAAGTCCCCCGAAACAAACAAACCAGATGCAAGGCAGAGTCTTGGTCTAATGTTTGGCTTTCTGAATGAGGTGGTTACAGAAAGGTGGTCAAAGTTCTGCAGAGAAGTAGACGTAAGACCAAGTCAGTAACAAGGGAGGCTGAGAGTGCGCCCAAGAGGTCACAGTAAGCAGCTATTTCTAATTGATGTCCTAATAACACTAAAAGATAGAGAAAATGTACGTGAGTGGCTGCAAAGTACTATGAGAAAGAGATCTCAGGGTAGCTTTAAGTAGCTCATTGGTGCCTGTGAGATGAGGTGATTGACAGTAGTCTAAGGTCCTGCACCATCCCAGCAACCAGGAAAAGCAGTCTGCTGTAGGACTGGAGGTTGGGAACTAGTGAACCCTAACAATTCCAGGGGGTAGAAATAAACAAGAAAACCAAATGTCATGTTAGACAAGAATCGGTGCCTATAGGGGGATTTCTGGCTGAGGGGAGAGAAATGAATTAAAGAGTTATTTGCCCAGAGCCTCTGCTCTTGCTGCCCAAGCAAGTAAGAGAGGAAAAAAATACAGAGGGAAGATGGATGGATGGAGGGAGGGACAGAGAGAGGCAGAGAAGGAGGAAGATAGATGTGGATGGGTGGATAAGTACCCAAATCTCCATCTGTAGTCACTATATGTAGTTTCTCTGAGTAATCTCTGGTCACGGCATGCTTGTCAATTCCTCATGTTTCCATTTAAATCTAGAGCCAGTTACTACCACAGACTATCCTTCAAGGCTCTCATCTAATGTTCTTTAAGGTGAATAACACTGTAAAGGGAAATACAAATGAAGTGTTCCTACCATCAAAAAAAATCTCCTTCCAAAGACAGACTATATGCAGTCAGGGTTAACTGAAGCAACTGGCCATCATTTTTTTTTCATATAAGCAGGCAATTGGCAGTTCATGGTATACATTTCAGGATGGCAACCATCACCAAGTGTTCATTTTGTTAAGAGTCTGGGGTAGGAAAATGCAGGCTTACCTGGTTCATCCATCCTCAGCACTTTAATAGACACCTGCTGTTCCGGCCACTGTGCTAAATGCTGCGAACCTCTTTCATCTGTACATTTGATTGCTTAATCTTCCCAACAGCTGCATGCGCCTCACAAAAGGAACTGTGTTTACAAAGGCGTACACTTGCCAGGCCCTCACTGTTAGCACAAGGCACAGAGGCTCCTTGGAATCTGTAATCTAGTTGATCAGGGAGGGCCTGAGTAATGATACCCTAAGGTATGTGTCACTGTAGACATACATTAACCCAGTGTGACTCCCCAAGGAGGCTCTCGGAAAGCTTTTCAAGAATGAATAGAACTCTGACAGGTAAATGCTGGTCTGTGCGAAGGGAAGGGGAGGTGGAGGAGCAATGTAAAGGGGGGAGAGATTAACAGAGGTGCAGGGACAAGCAGTGCCCAGTGGGGTCAGAGGACAGCAAGGAGTGATAGGGTGGCAGACAATGTCCGTGGGTCAAGGTTTAGATGTAAAACTGGCCAGCAAAAGAATTTCCTCTAGGAGACAGACTCAGGTCTTAAGAAATAATGTCCGGGGACTGGAGAGATATAGCCCAGTGGTTAAGAGCCAATACTGCTGCTGCAGAGGACCTGAGTTCAGTTCCCAACACCTATTTCTGGCAGCTCAAAACTGCCAGTAAGTCCAGCTCCGGGGGGTTGGAGGCCTGTGGCATTCACAGGCACCCGTCCTCTCATAACTCACCCATGCACAGACACGCGTAATTAGAAATAAAACACATCGCGTAATTAGAAATAAAGCACATATTAGAAAGAGAAGGAGCTGCCTTCTGCACCCTTTCACAAGTCTCTGTCTGGGTTGAAGGAGAGAGCAGGAAGTAGGGAGGCAGGATGAAGCTAGCTCTGTAGCACTGGTCTTGCCTAGGGAGCATACGTACTGCAGAGTGCCTTCCAGCGCAAAGGGAGAGTTTCACTTCCCATCTAGACTGAATCCTCATAAACTATTCTCGTACCTATTCCTTGGGGAAATAAGACAGGAGGCCCTGTGGACTGGAAAGGTTTTGTTGTTAGTTGTGTTGGTCCATTGGCTTCTTTCATCTGACCCTAACATGGAATCTTGATGCATCAGAAAGGCGTAAGCCCCAAGCGATGATACGGGAGGCTGGTGCGGCAATGCGGTGGGTTGAGGGGACCAGCTTTGCCTCACACTGGCAGTAGAGAGTGTGGATGCATCTGGGGAGTTAGCAGTAGCTCTTATCGATTGGATTGTACTGGATGGGGAGACAGTGACACCCAAGTTCTAAATCTAAGTAGCTGTTAGAATGGTGACCTTCCTACGGGAAATGAAGCAACGGTCTAGGGAAGAAAGGTAGTAAGATTCTTTTGAACAGTTCCACCTGGAAGCAATGATGAGACTCTCGCGAAGAAATATCCAGAAACTGTTCCAAAGCCAGAGCTGGTATTCAGAAGAGAATCGGAACTGGTGAAAGCAAAAACGGGAAAGTCTGCAAGGGGACGAAGCCATTCGTGGTGGCGGTCCCTGTTGAGAGGTGATGTGACTGGCAGAAGAGCTGACCAAGGGCGGGCCTCTGAGGAAGCAGAGAGAGGACCCTATTCAAAGAGACAGAGGGCAAGGAAGTCAAAGCTGTGTAGGGAACTGGAGGGAGGGGAGGGCGAGAGGATGAAGATGCCTTTGCTGATAAAGGCAGGACCTCTTCTCTGGCCGACTTGCTGCTCTCCCAGCTCCAGTCCTTCCAGAACTCCTCTCTCACTGCTGGGCTTGGGCACAGACGGCTTTGGAAACGGTTGCTCACCTGTGTTTGCTTGGTATCACTGTGCTCTTTAGCTCAGATGTTCATTTCTTATAAGCAAATACTGAATGAGGGACAGTAAAGGGGACTCCAGGGATCCTGAGAGCATTTCCTGGATTTGTTGGGAGGTCACCTGTAAGGTGCATGGAGCAAGAGGGTGATGGGGAATGGTAAAGGGTCCTGGATGGTGATGGCAGAGGTAACAGCTAAACACTGAACTGAGCTCCTGGAACCCAGTTTCAGAGAGGGAGGAGTGATGAGCAAATGGGTCAAGACCAGGCTGGTAAAACCCACAGAAACAGCTGAGAGGCCAGCATGGGACTGATCCAGACCCCCTGAATGTGGGTGTCAGTGAGGAGGCCTCAGCAATCTTTGGTGCCGTGGATATTAGATCAGTATTTATCCCTGGCATCTGAATGGACTTTGGGAGCACATTCCACATGGAGGGATGCTCTCTCAGCCTGGACACATGGGGGGAGGACCTAGGCCCTGCCCTGGATGATATGACAGACTTTGGAGATTCCCCCATAAAGGATCTCACCCTCCCTGGAGAGTTGAGTGGGGATTGGGTGGAGTTTTGGGGGGCTATGGGGGATGGGGGAGGAGGGGAGGGAGAGGGAGCTAGGATTGATATGTGAACCAATTTTCTAATTTAAATAAAAAAAAGAACTCTAGGGTAAGACATTTGAAAATATGCCCCCCCCCCCCCTCCAGAAAGGGTCTCCCTCTGTGCCGAGGCTGCTCTGGCACTCATGTGGTCCAGGCTGAGCTTGAACTTGTGGTCATCTTCCCGCCTCAGCTTCTGAAGTGCTGGAATTTCAGGTGTGAACCACCACCTGTGCGGTGAATGTGTTCTTAGACTGCCATGAAGGCCAGCGTGTAGGGGAGAGAGCAGATGTAAGGGCAGACAGTGCAACAACCGACAATGGGTTTGAGAAGTGACTGAGGCTACAGGGGAGCTCGCCCCTTGGGGAGGACGTGGAATAGTAGGACACTTCAAGAGGCAGACATATTGACCACTAAGAGGAAGGAAACCATGGCCCAATAAGAAAATTTGCTGACTCTAACTTCTAACCCGGCTGTTTATCAGCTGTGTGACCTGTGGCGAGCGACAGTATTTCTTAAAACCACAACTTCCTTTTTGGTAAGAAGGGAGCTCTACCTTCCAAGTTATTGTATGTAACTGTCCCACCTATTTTGGTTGTTGTTTTGGGAAAGAGCTCTTTTTGGGGGAGGGTGTTTGTTCCCTTTTCCTGGTAAAACAGAGTAACTGGAAGATTCTTCACAAACCCGGGAGGTGGGGATGACATCGCCCCCTAGAAACCAGGGAAAGGAGTGCAGAAGTGTTGGCATGGACAGCCACATTATCGCACCATGAATGGTGTGCACATCGCTGTCACCCAGGGCTCTGCGTGACAGGATGGATTTCTGGAGGGCTCTGGTCCCTGTTTGAAAGGTATTGGGCTGTGTGCTACTAGCTTCCCTAACATTCTTCTACGTTAGGGTTTATAAGAAAAAACTCAAGCCAGCCTGTGGGATCCATGCACCCTGGAGGCTAGTTAGAGCCTGTTCAGCGCCCCTAGCATCTCCACCCACAGATCAGGAGCCTGGGATGAGGGTGTGTTTGTTCATCTCGCGTACTTTCCGTGCCCCAGCCCGCTATCCTAGAACAGCATGGCAGGAACTTGGCTTTCATCTCCTGCCCATCTCGCGACCTTTTTTTTTTTTTTTAAAGAAAAAGACCAAAAAACTTGCTGAGTGTGTTGAAGCCCCGCCCTTCCGCGCCCAGTACTGGGGCCGCCCCTCGTGCCTTCCCTGCCGGGTCCTGCTGCTTCCCGGAGGCCCTGGAGGTGCAGACTGTGGTCCATGGGGCCCTCGGTGCTGCCCACCTGGCTGCAGCCCAGGTAGGGCGCGGGACGGTGGGGTGGGAGGGGCCAGGGCGCTGGGCAGAAGCCCACCCACCGGCTTCCACTCATGGGAGACGCCTCTGACTCTGCTCAACATTACTGTTACTGTTGCTCCTGCCTATTCCCTCTTTGTTTTTTTTTGGTTTTTTTTTGTTTTTTTTTTTTTTGAGATAAGGAAGGACAGGCATGTTTGCTCGTCACTTTGTATACTCCCACTAGTCCTTTCCCCTTCCTCCTCGTCCCGCTTCGCCCTAGATTTGGATGCAGGGTGATTTTCAGAGCGTCCAGCAGCAGCAGCGCCCATCACAGGAGGGGGGAGGGGTTGCAGGATTGCAGGAAAACTAGGGCCTGGGGTGTGTGTTTACTAAAGCCAGGTGATTCTGGTTTGGTTGGAGTTTCCCCTTCCTAATCGCTTTAGCTGTTTTGGTCATCTGTGGACGGTTGAAGAGAATCGGCTTCCCAGTTTATATACCTTGTTTCTTCGAGGTTTCCCTCGTGTATGCTGACAAGGCCACTCCAGCCACCGTTTTGCACACCGGGGAGCCCTTCTACATGCCACACACGGCCTTTCGGAACTCCCTGGAACCAAGGATCTGTCAATCTTCTTAGTCATCTCCCCAGCAACGCACAACACATTTTTACACTCAGCTTGACTTCCTCTTTTTTTTTTTTTTTTTTTTTTTTTTTTTTTTTGGCCTGAGCAACTAAACTACTTTCTATGAGTGTGTGTTGAAGGGAACTGACTTCTCTTGCAAAGTACAAAGTAGAACAGGAGATGGAGGCAAAAAGAGAGTAGTAACCCAATCACAAGGTACTCAAAAGTCAGGTGCGCCCCGTTACTGAGTCGCCCAGTTGTGACCACTCCTCTCGGATAATGGCAAGTCAGCTCTTCATTCGTTTAGCAAGCCTAGCTACTGGGCTCCAAGCAGCCCAAATCAGTCCTTTTGCGTTCATGTTCCTTCCCTGTCCCGTCGAAATTTCAAAGCTATCTTTGTAGTGACTGTAAGTGTTAGAGAAACAAGCTTAGAATTTTATCAAGATGGAAATGAAGCTTGGAAAAGAACTACCTTTGGTTTTCAGCAACCTCAATCAATATACTCATGTTAGATAAGTTGGTCCCATCAAACGTTAGTGGGTTTGGAGTGCCAACCCAATGAAAGACCCCCACGCAGAGCTGTGACACAGAACTTTTCTTCCCCTTGCTCAGTGTGACTGGTACACTAAAGGATGTGTTTATTGACATCTCCCTGTGTTTATAGGTATAGGAAGAATGTGTATCTTTTCATCTATTACCTAATCCAGTTCTGTGGCCACTCGTGGATACTGACAAATATGACAGCCAGGTTCTTCTCATTTGGAAAAGGTAACTCTGAGGCAGTTTTGATTTTTATTCCTTGTTTTCATCTTGTCGTGTTGATTTTAATTTTGAACTTCTGGACAGCACGCCTGTCATCATTCCCTTCTCTAGAGTTTGCTTTTCCATAACCATACTTTATTATTTCAAACCTAAACCTTTTTGTAGTGAGGAGGAGGTGAGACCAAGGAGAAGGGACCCATCTTGCCCCAGATCAGGCAGGGTGCTTTGGAAGCAAAGTCTTAGCTTTGGGATGTTCCTTTTTGGTTCTGTGCCAAACTCAAAAATTTAATGCATTTTGAGGACTCTGTAAATTCCAGCCTGGCATTCTATGCAAAGCAATTAATGAAATTCTTCCACTGATTTTTATTTCCCAGGTTTAGAGTAGCTGAAGATTACTGGTAACTGAATGACAAACGTTATATTCCCCAAGACCCTGCTTGACCCCTTAAGTCATATGTGTATGACACAGCACACTGATGACTAGTTACCTATGTGGAGTCGGTGCTGAGGACTTGAATCACAAGTTTCCCTCAGTTTCCTAAAAAGTCAAGATGTTTCTTTAATCTATTCATTTCAGATTGTTAAAGAATGAATCACCAAGTGACTGTCAAAACAACATTCTCTCCGTGTTCCATCCCCATATGAGTGAGTGTCATCACAGTTTACAACTGTTTGGTGACTCGACAATTTGAGCAACTGCTGGTTTAGCTAAAAACAAACACGAGCATGGCTGGAAAAAAACCGTGCTGAGTTCATCAACTGAGACTCATGTATCATAAGAAAAACCCGTCTCCTGGGCTGCCACAGACCATTTCATGTTTCTCAATCTTTCTAAAGATGTACACGTTCTTCTAGCCTTTGTGAATTTCAGAGCTACAGCAGAAGGCTTGAGTACCAGCTATGTATACTGAGAGTTTTTAAGCAGAGGAAAGCTGAGACCCAAGTGATAGGAGGCTGTCAGCTGTGTACCTTGAAGGTTAGGTGAGGCTGTGTGGCAGACTTCAGGTCACTCACACATCTTGTGCCCCAAGCAAGAATTCTAATATGGCCCCCAATGGAGAAAGTGGCTTTAGCCCTCTGTGTCCTTATGATACGCCACTGTAGTTATAGCAGCTATGTATTATTAGAGAAACATAAACAGTTTTGCTCCTGAGAACAATGGAGTAGGAAACCAATTCCATTTCCTGTGTCAGGGGTTCTCAACTTTCCTAATGGTTTGATCCTTTCATATAGTTCCTCATATGTGGTGACCCTCAGCCATAAAACTTCATTGCTACTTTGTAATTGTAGTTTTGCTACTGTTATGAATTGTAATGTGAATATCTAATATTCAGGACACCTGGTAAGTAACCCCTGTGAAAGGGGTGTTCCACCCCAGGTTGAGAACCACTAACTACCTACCCTAGGCAATGGACTTTCGTAACCCACTTCTTTCTTCTGTCAGGGATGTGTAAAGGTACAGGCAGTGGGTAGGAGTGTGGACTATTGGTGGAGGAATTGTCTCTGAGAGGGGCATCTACCTTATAGAGACTCCAGGAAAATAAGCCCTAGTACCTGGTCAATTATAATCATGCAAATGCCTGGAAGCAGTAAAAATAGAAAAATCACCATTAGAAATCTCCAAATGTGGCAGGATTTTACGATCTTAAAGAAACAAGTTTGTCATTAGAGGGTCATCTGCTCACTTCTAGTTCAGTTCCCTCTAAGGGGAATATCTCCGTTGTGTCCACTCATAGTACCAACTCCAAAGTTCAGTGCTTAAAACAAATCCAAAGTCACTAGTCCAATGTGTGTAGGGCAGAACAAGTGCAGACAGACCTGGTATTTGACATCAGCCATAGCATCACCGGCGCCATTTCTATAACATTTCTCTGAAATCTGTTTCCTAGTCTTTTCTTTTTTCTGGTCAATGAAAGAGCTGAGCACAGCAGATTTCTTTCTTTTTCTTTTTTTTTCCTTCACTTCCAAACTATCCACACACTAAGGGGTTTAGCTTCTGTCTGATTATATTTGTCTGGGAATTACGTGACACTCTCATGTGTTGGGAATAACTACAACAACTCTGGCTGTGGAGACTTGTAAGTTTCAGTTCTTTCTGGAAGAGGAAAAATCAGAAAGAACTATACATGCTCTCTGTGAGTATCCACATGCTTCCTATATGCACCCCAGTACTTCTGGTAAGTACCACAGTACTTGGTGGGGATGTAGCTTTCTTAGAGTGATTTTTTTTGCACATACAATAAAGAAATACATCTCAGTTGTATTTTGCAGTGCTCCACAAATGTGCACTCTGATGCAGTTTTGACTCACCGCGTCTATTTTTGTTTGTCACTCACTGACACAGATTCAATGGTCGACACATTTTATGCTATTGGGCTGGTCATGCGGGTTTGCCAGTCTATTTCCCTCCTGGAGCTGCTGCACATTTATATTGGCATTGAATCAAATCATCTTTTCCCAAGGTTTTTACAGGTAAGTCTAATCAAGATGTTATTATAGTATCTTTACTGCTTGGATCCCATTCTGGGGAGTCCATGGCCATTTACCACTCTGCATGTACATCCTTCTGAAGTGGATAAGACAGTGGACAGGCTCAGAGCCAAAGCATTTAGACTTAGGTCTAAGGCCTTGCTCTTCTATTGGCCACTGTGGGGCATACTACCCCAGCCACTGGGTTGTTAATGGGAGCGAATAGGGGATTAAAAACCAAAATGATAGTGCTTGTCTTAAATGCAGGTTAACAGAAGTTGGAAATTTACTACTGGGAGACACTCCACTTAGGAAATCACTGCAGAGTTAAAACAAAAAATAATTAAAATAGCATTTTCCATGAGAAAGACAAAATAAGGATTAGGTGACTACACGGATATGCATTAGAACCCCAGGATTTGGACTTGCCATCTCAATGAGCATAGTCATAGTATCCTAAAAGAGACTGGAAAACAAACTTTTCCTAAAATATCAGAATCTTGATGTACTTAAATACCCAGCAAAGTGCTTAGAATGTGAACATAGAGCTTAAAACTTCTAGATCCCTGTGTTAATTTGCTTGAAATACCATGAACTTTTTAAAAGATGCAAATAACAGTATAACCCTCATGAATGTAGTAAGAGCCCAGTATTACAAATATTAAAAATATTAATGGATAGGAACAGTAAGAATGGGCCAGAGAGATAACTGGGTAGGGCATTTGCCAAGCATGATGACCTTGGCTTGATCTCTGGGACTCACATTATGAAGGGAAAGAATTAATTCCTGAAAGTTGTCCTCTGACCTCTACACATGCACTGCAGCATGTGTGTGTGTGTGGGGGGGCATGTGTGCATACACACACACACACACACACACACACACAATGTTTTAAAAGGTATGGGGTAGATTTAATTTTACTTAGTAAACAAAAATAGGGAAACACTATTCATTAGAATGAAGACAATTTAAGTTTTGAAGTACCAAATGTTATAAAAGGGGATGATAATAATGTACAATATAGTTAAATTAGAATTAACCAGCTAAGAGCTACACAGACTCTCCTTAAACGTGTCACTTTACAAACTAAAAAGGGGGCACAAATCAATTACAGGGGCAGTGATTAATTTAGAAACAAGATTTATTGGTATTTCTGACTAATGGGTCTGCTGTATTTTGAAAATGGCAAAATGTGTGCAGCAGAAGACTAATTTCCGAGAGCAGAACTGACGACTCAGATTACATGAAAGCTGCATCCTATCACATGGAATTATTCACGAGGAGCTGGATCAAGTTCATCTAAAATCTGAGTCATGTTATCACTTTCACTCTTCCTTAAAGGTCCTTTGACCTTTTGTTGTTGTTGTTTAGGCTAAATTGGCTATTACTAATCTCTTGGTAACACAGCATTTTCAAAATTAAAGTTTGTGTTACTTTAGCTGTTGGTAATTCACACTGTGGATCTAGACCTAGTCAGGAAGAAGGCTGAGTGAGAGCTAAAAAAATGTACACATACTGTTTGCTTGACAAAATTACCTAGACTTGCCTAATAATCAAAATCACTATAGAACTGGGACATCTGATTTCTTAGAGGTGTACAAATTTCAGAACATTCAAGCATGGTTTTTAACACCAATAAGTAAATCTCAAATGGCGTATAGAACCATCATTGAAACCAAAGAACCAACTCCTGATTTGGTCACTTAAAAATGATAGCAAATACACCTGCATATTTATTTATTAAACAATGAATTTGCTAAGTCCAGCGCTATTGGAGCACAGTGACCTTTAAGTCTTCAGTCCTGGGGAAAGACAAGCAGGGATCAGGGTACCAGGGTCGAGGATGAGCATCCCTGGCTATGAGCAACCCAGACATGAGCATAGCCCTTTTGATGTGCCTGTTTGGTTTCCTCTCTTACTTGATTGTATGTGCCCCCTGTCCCCAGAATGGGAATGACATTGAAAAAGCTTTATAAAGGCCTCATATGTGAAGTCTCACATTGGGTGTCTTTTCTAACTAAAGTTCTGCAGACAATTAGAATTGCTTCATTCTGAGACTACCCCAAGCACTCTGCTTAAAAATAATGTTTTGTTACGCTAGGTTGTGCAATCATCTGTGGTGTTCCCATTTCCCTATTTTTAAATGAAGAAATGGTACTTAGGGCAGCTGAGTTACAGTGGTTATGACTGACTACATTATATATATATACATACATATATACATATATATATATATATATGCATCCTGTCCTGCTGCTTTAAAGAGGAAAAAAGCTACGTCTATAGAGTTGTGATGCTATTATGATATTACTTCCATGGCATTATTACAAAGCCACAATGGAATGTGCCCATTTGAGAACAGAGTTTCTAAAATGTCATGATAACTAACTCCAGCTAGCATGAACAATGGATTAGGATTAGCTAGTTGAACAACTAATGTAACATCTGGCGAGAGTCAGTATCGAAGGAATGAGGGTAGATTTGGGTTTGCTCATTGTTCTGAGTTATTAAGTGTTTTACCCTCACATATCTGGCAACAAGCAGTAAACTGTAATTTCTAAAATTACATGCAATTGCTAAAACAAAAAAAGCAGAGAAAACACATGCTATATGACAGTAGTTATTTAACAGACATCTATATTTTATTTTTAAAATACTCATGAAGGAAAATTCAAGACACTAACACAAAAAGCTATTTATAGATTTACTGTTTGTACTGATTACATATCACTTAAATTATATACAAAAATATATCAAAGTTTGATGTTCTTGGTTTCAAGTGGGAAACTTCAAAAGACACAAAAGAAGCATGATAAAATGACAGTACACATGAAAGCTAAGTGCTTTCCCTTCCTAGCTCTTCCCTTCCAAACAAACTTGCACATTTCGTTGCTTTAATTATGGGACTAGTTGACTCTGGGCGACCTCTTTAAAGAAAACCTAAGGCTTGCCTTTGTAGAATAGGGTACAGCCTTGCCTGCAGGGTTGATTCTGAAAGCTTTACTCAGTCTTCAGTTTTGCAAAAGCCTTGGAAGCTTTTCTCGATAAAAATTTGTGGACTTTTTAACTTAGACAAAAGGGAAAACAGCCCCAGATGATCCTTTGTACCACAGTGTCTGATGGGTACCCCTAATAGGAAACTCTCGGAGGAATAGTTTAGCTGACGTCAAGTGGTTCAGTGCCACATCCTGCCCTTCACCAATCACCATGAACATTGCTGCACATCTTAAACATGTTTAGGCAATTAAAAATATCTACAAATGATTTTCCCTAAGGTTCCCCATAGGTTCCACCCATGAATGTCAAGTGCAGGGATCATTTCCTATTAACCAATGTCACCAGCTCCGTCTCCTGTTTATGTTGAAGGCAAGGAGAGCTCTTGTCCCTTTGTCACACATGAGGGAATCTCAAAGCAGAGTATCTAACTCCCATGTAAATCCCAGTCTGATTCTTCAGGCTGAGAGGCAGCTGACTTTCACTGCTAGACTAAGTCATTTTTGGACTTTCCATAAAAATGTCACAAATTTCTCTCCCTGTAGGCCTTGAGGATAGGATTTTGTTACTAAAGATAAAGCTGCTGGCAGTTCAAGTGGTAAGAGAATGATACAGTTCTCTCCATGGAAATGCTAGAGTCTTTGGGTCTGCTCATTTTGATCTATGGAGTTCTTCAGTGGTTATGTACAAAGCTCTCTTCACGGTGAAATTTTACAAATGCAGAGTAGCTTTCAAAAACCCACAGTCTTCACTATCTCTGCAGAAAAAAATGTCCTACCTGGCAAGCCCTGTGAGCTGCTGAGATGTCCAGCCAGCTGCAGAAACTCCTTTGAAGAACAGACCATTGTCTGGATGTTAGGTTCTACAAAAATGAAAAGGTCCTACTCTTTTGCAATACAGGACTTAAAAAAGTCTGGATTTTGATTCCAGACCTGAAGGAAGTCACTATAGTCTGTGCTTTGGGGGTAAGGCAATAGTAATAGTGCCTTCTTCGAGTTACTGTGGTGAATAAATGAAAAACTAAATTTGGAAATTGGCAGAAAATAGTGTTGACTTTTATCAGCTTCATATCTCTAACTAAATGCTTCTATTGGGCTGCTGTTGAATATAGTTAAGCAACCATCAGATAATGAATTAGGTTGACATTGTGTAACAATGCATATGGAAGGAATCTCCCTATGTCCACATGCATGCTATGGTTGGTATTTGGGGCCATATTGACTGTTGGTTTCTATGCAACTAGCAACCCCATTGGCTAAGGAGCCACAGAGCCTTCACTGATATTTTAATGGAGTTTCATCATATAGTCCCAGTTTCACTGGCAAATTTTCCTGTGCCCTCATTATTTAAAGGGTACCTGACATCATGGATTGCTTATAAACCCAGTGATCAGGAGACGTGTGCTTCCCACTTACCTACGGTGTGGACAGAGCATTTACATTCTCTGGTTCCCAGATTTCCTCCAAGTGAGAGTGGGGTTGGGGCTGGTATTAGAATGTTCTGTGTAGAGGGATTCTATAGATCTTAGGTTTTAAAATACTCAGCCATGACATTAGAAATCTATGCAGTATGTATCTCTGTGTGTACTTCTGAGATCTTTAGCAAAAAACAAGTTCTCTGAGTTTTAGGCATTAATCAAATACAAGATGAGACAGTGCCAAAAGCTGCCAGGTTGGGTTATTCAGTTGTTTAAACTGCAGTTTAGAAGAATTCATATAGACACAGTTAAGTCATATCAAGAAACGAGATCATTATATCTTAAAGACTAACCAAGGGAAAAGAGCCCTGTGGATAACTCCCAAAGATTGACTAAGTTTGAATCATGTCTAATTCCCCTTAGCCATGCAAGGGTCCTCTTGACTCACCTCTGAAATCATAAACATGCTGACATAGCTTACACATGTAGATTTCTGATCATGTGAACTGTTGTTGGCAAATCTTGGGATTTTTTTTACAGGAACAGCCCATGATTCTGTTGTGGATTATCCTAGAGTTTTTCTTCTTAATCAGCTTTAAAAAAGAAAGTCAGCTATGAGAATTGACAAATCAACCCCCTTCATATATTCTCTGTCAATCTGAAAGTCTATCTTTTGACCACTGAGAGCAAAGAGAAATGCCCTATTAAAGACAAAAATGTAGACTGTACAGGCTATGATAGTATAACACGGTGCATTTTATACTCTGTAGGGAATGAGGACTGCGTTTTATTGAAGCTGGAAATTGGAGCTAAGCCAAAAATATGTGAATTCTCAATGATCTTTAGATGCTTGTAACTTGGCATATATAACACGTATTCCAAGAATGTGTTAAATTCTTTCCATTTTCCACTGGCTTATGAGGATTAGGGTTATATTACTGGCTCACAAAAAGAACAAAATTACAGTGGGTTCTCTGTTAATTAAAGTGGAAATTTCCTGGCCTGTCATACAAAACCCTTGACAACTCAGACCCAAACATATTTACTTTCTTTACCCATTTTTCCTTCCCCATACCACCCATCCCAGTCTTTCTGTGATCCTTGCTCCTCCCTCAGGACACCTCACATTGACACCCTGCTGCCCTGCTCAGGCTGCTGGTGTCTAGGATGCCTCTTCTAATATCTACTCTACTTGGCATCTCCAGTCCATCAAGGGGCAGCTGAAATGCTGTCTTCTTGAGCCTCTTTGCATCTGTTTCTAGGATCTCCTTCCTCAGCTGTGTTTCCTGCTCAGCATGCTGCCCTATAGTTACATTCCCCACCACTAAGTCTGGAGGAAGGATTGTTTTCACCATACCATCTAATATGTAGTGGACGCTCATGTAGGAGTTTGCCAAAGTGACCAAAAAATGTGTATATATATGTCAAGACGAGAGGAAGTATTTTGACTTAGGTAAACTGTGTGTGTGTGTGTGTGTGTGTGTGTGTGTGTGTGTGTGTACAGAGAAACAAACAAAAATTGGAAAATTAAATTCATCCATAGCCCAGCTCTTTCAGAGACAGCCATTGTTTATAGTTTAGAAAATGTATGTCCAGTTAAGGCATTTCTTTTAAACAAAGCCCTGGTTTTTAAAATTGGAAAGTTACCTAAATGGCCTAATGGATGATCCTATTTCTCAATGTGTTTTTAATAGCTCACAGAGAGAGTGGTCATCCTTTTTGGAGTGATCACCAGTCAAGAGGAAATCCAAGAGAAATATGTGGTGTGTGTTTTATTCATCTTTTGGAATCTTCTGGATATGGTAAGGTAAGTAAGCAAAATTGTTGGGCATAGTGGGTATGATAGTGCACATCCTTAATCTCAGAGGTAAAGATAGGTGGATTTCTGTGAGTTCAAGGCCAGCCTAGCATACATAGCTAGTTCAAGGCCAGCCAGGACTACATAGTGGGACCCTGTCTCAATCATCAATCAGTCTGTTAAAACAAGGAAAAATTGCTTTAGGGAAATGCATAATGGCTGTTCACATTAGTTACTATGAGCAAGACAGAAAAACAACCCCTTTGCATGCTGTTTGATATTGAAATAGAAATGTATAGGTAGGGCTTCCCATAATGGGCATATCAAGAAAAATGAAGACCAATCTTGGTATTCTAAGTGCAAATTTCGAACCCTTGGGTTCCCAGAACGAGGATTTGCCAGGACACTGATCTGGAATGACCACACAGCTGTATGTACTAATGGAAGGCACCTTATCTTTGCTTTAGCATGCATTATTTTAATAAGCAAAACAGGACTTTCATTACTTGTCAGAACCCAGAGTTGGTGTCATAGCTTCAGTTGTCAGCCTGATCCCTGGGAAGAGGGGCACCTTAACTGAGGAGCTGCCTCTATCTGATTAACCTGGAGGAGGCACCATCCCACTGGGGGTCTGGAAGGAGGTAAGTAATCGGTGTTCCCAGTCACTGCTTCAGGTGCCCTGACTGCCTTCGGTAACAGATTATGATCTGGCAGCCTTTCTTCCCCCAAGTTGGTTTTGGTCAATGTTTTATCATAGCAAAGAGAAACAAGTTTCAACAATTGTTTTCTGTGACTTCAGACCCGGGGGGTGGGGGAGGGGGGAGGAAATATAACCCCATATCCATTTCTGTACATAACTCCAGTGGGATCCAGTAGCTAACTTAGTCCTTTTATGGTATCCCCAGAAACTACAGTTGCTTCAAAGATCTTGATGCGAATAGGTCCCAAAAGAGTCCTGGCTTTTTGGCTGGGTTTATATAAATCTATTTTTACAAAATTTGGCTGAGTTAAAAAAATAGCCTCAACAATGGGTTGAGTACTAGGAATGATTGCACATGTACTTAGTAAGCTATTTAATGTTTTAAAAGTAGAATTTTAGACTAGGACTTCTGTAGCCTGCGATTTCCTATTTATACAAGGTATTGGTTCCTCACTAGGGACCACAGCTTTCCAATATATTTGAATACTATTCTGTCTTACTCAGTATCCATTCTTAGACTCAACAGAACAAAATGACTTTCATGCTGAAAGTCATAACAAACTATCATGGGATGATTTGGGAATATAGAGGACACAGCAGGATGAAATCTACCTCTACTACTTATTTGCTACACAATCTTGGGCAAATCATTTAACTTTTTATAAATAACAATTTTATCAGGATATAGCTTACCTGCCACAAATTTAACTTTTTAAAATATAAAATGTGTGAGTTTCTGTATATTCAAAGAGAAGCAAAACCATCACGATATTCAGGCAAAGAACACCTATTAGAAATACCATACCCATGTACACATATCAATCCCACTTCCCTCCTCCAGGCCCTGGCAACCATTCTCTTATTATCTCTATGGGTTTTCCTATTTTGTGTTTCATATAAATGGAGTCATCAAACATGTAGTCTTTTGTTACTATCTTCTTTTTACTTGGAATAACATTCTCAAGGTTTACAAAGTATTGTAGCATATAATGGTATTTCATGGCATTTTGTGGCTAAATAATATTCTATTGTATCACCATAACACCTTTTGGTTAGCCACATAATTGATGCATATTTGTATTACTCCTACATTTTGGAAATAAGACATACCGTCATGAGCATCCAAGCATAATCTTTTGTTTTCCTTATAGCCCGTAGTAAAACCCTGGGCTCTTCCTTTGATAGTGTTTTCCTTTCTGCAAAATGGGGATGGAAATATATCTCAATCAAAGTGCAATAATTTGTTTAAAGAAAATAATGAACAAAGATCTTACTTAGCCTATAAAGGCCCCCGTGAAGAGAGTACAACTGACACGAGAGCTCATGGTGGGACGGATGCACCCCTCCTAAGACTGCAATAAGGACATCCATACTGTCCAACATGATATCGGAATTTCTAGCCACAGCAATTAGGGAAAATGTGTAAAAGGCATCCAGATGGTAGAAAACTGCAAGTGACCATCAAGTTTAGCAGAGTCGTGCAACACAAAAGCAAGACAAGCCAGCATATTTCTATGTATTTTCAGTGAACTATCTGAAAATGAAAATAACAAAAAAAATCCTGTTTGTGGTAACTCCCAACAGAATGGAGTACGCAGGAATACATTTAACGAAAATAAGTAGAGCATGTACAATAAAGATCTTGATAAATGGAAGGGCATTCCATATTGGAGACCTATTATTGCTAAGATGGCAATACTCGCAAATCAAATCTGCAGATGGCAATACTCACAAATCAAATCTGCAGAGTCATTGCAAGTCCTATTAGAGTCTCAACTGGTTTTGTTGCACAAATTGAGAGACTGAAAAATCCACGTAGAAACCTGAACTCAGATGAGTCAAAACCTTTGTAAGAACATACTTGGTCTCACTCTTCTCCATTCAGAACTTACTACAGAGCAATGATAATCATGAGTATGGTACTACCAACCAATCAGAGGACGGAATCAACAGTTCAGTAATAACCTCTTCTAAGTGGGTTAAGTTTTGACAAAAGTCCCAAGAGATTCAAAGGCGGAAACAGTCACAGGACAACTGGATACTGCATGCAAAAGATCAAGTTGTATTTTACAATGCACCCTTAGACGGGGCACCAAAATTACAAGCAACAAAAGAAAATAGATGACTCGAGTTGGATAACTAGTTACTGTGTGGTTAATAGTGAGAACTTGACTGGATGCCTAGGGCTCTAAGGAGGCACACCCTCGGGTGTTTCTATGAGATTCTAGAGTTCAGCTGAGAGAGAGAGCTGCCCCTGAATGGGAGTTGTATCATCTGATGGTCTGGGATCTTGAACTGAATACAGAGGAAAGAAAGGAAAGGTAATTTGTGAGTTAATAGACCATCTGGGTAATTCCAATGTGCTGAGGTACAGACACCACTGGCTTATTCATATGGATAAAAGTGCATTGAGTACTTGGTACTAGCTGGCTTAAAGTTAACGTGCTGCACCCCAAACCTCCCAAGGCCAGTTCTGATGTGTAATGGGGCAAAGCAGCGGGCACAGAGGCTGGTAGATATGAATTTAGGAGTTGTGTTTTAATAAATTCATCTTTACAATATGTGCAATTGGGTCTCTTTTTTCAAGAAGCCTAGCTATTGTTGCACAAAATGAGCTTAGCTTTTAAATAAAATTGAAGTCATTAATCATGGAAGCTTATAACTGTAATTTCTTGGGAGGAGGTAAGAGCTATATTCTTGTTCTGTTCAGCTGTATAATTACCTATGATCTACCCCATGAGATAAGCCAGGGAGACAGAGGTTCCCCATCCCACAATACACCATTTTTACCCTGTCCTTGCTTAAATTATAGGAAATAAAGCATGTAATTCCCACACTTCCAATTTTATTCCAATGTTTAATTTGTAGGAAGATATTTTCCTCTTATTTCCCAGACAGCAGTAGCAAATGAGACTTATGAACTAAGTGTCTCCTTCCAGGTATACATACAGCATGTTATCAGTCATAGGAACATCTTATGCTGTCTTGACATGGCTCAGTCAAACACTGTGGATGCCAATTTACCCTCTGTGTGTTCTTGCTGAAGGTAAGAGTTCTGTGTTATATTTCTGACTGATATAAGCCATTGATCTCTAATCACTCATTAAATTTTTTGATAATGAAACTGCTATTTTTAGTAGTTCTTGACTTACTGATGACATGGTCCCCAGTCTGTTTCCTTGCTGCAAAGAAAGAAACCATTAAGAAGCAGGGGAGGAGGGGAGAGATAGGGAACTGGGATTGACATGTAAAACAAGCTTGTTTCTAATTTAAACACACACACACACACACACACACACACACACACACACACACACAGAAGCAAATTTCAGTTGGAGGTTTCTTGCCCATCAGTTCCCAAATAACCACTCTAAGGTTTAACATTAATTACAATTGTTTGGCCAATGGCTCAGGCATATTACTGGCTGGCTTTCTCAATTAAATTAACCCATTTCTATTAGTCAGTGTATTACCCCGTGGTCATGGCTTACTGGTAATGTTCTTATCCCTTTGGCAGCTACATGGCGTCTCCCAGACTCCACCTTCTTTCTGTCTGTATCTTTGTTTGGATTTCTTGCCTGGCTCTATTCTGCCTGGCCATTGGTCAAATCAGCTTTACTTATAAACCAATAAAAGCAGCACATATTCACAGTACATAGAAGGTGGTGTGGTGGTGTACTCCTGTAACCCCAGAGGCAGAGGCACCAAGGCCAGACTGGTCTACATAGAGTTCCAGGACAACCAAGGATACATGGGCAGACCCAGTGTCAAAGATTGAGAGGGGAGAGGGGGACAGGGGGAGGGAGGAAGGAAGGAGGTAGGGAAAAAGGAAGGAGAGGAGAGAGGAGAGAGAGAGAGAGACAGAGAGAGAGAGAGAGAGGGAGGGAGGGAGGGAGGGAGAGGGAGAGAGAGAGAGAGAGAGAGAGAGAGAGAGAGAGAGAGAGAGAGAGAGAGAGAGAGAGAGAGAGAGAGAGAGAGAGAGAGAGAGAGAGAGAGAATGCATTAAAGTTCAAGGTGGAGGTAACCCTGCACAGCTTACTGGGCTATAAACAGTGTCTAGGTCCTTACCTTCATTAACTATGAGTTTGGGACAGCTCATTTCATTTCCAAGTCTATTTACATACCCAAACTGGGTTTAACATATAGAGAAACTAGAGTTAGATTTGTTTTTAAATACTTAGAAATTTGGTCATGTCTGGCTAGAGTGCCTTTCACCACTCCTAAACATCCTGCTTCTTCCAGTGACCATTTAACTACCCTCACATGAGTCTCCACTTTCAGAGGGAGACCTCTGACTTTTCAAATAAGGTAGTTCCTAGTATACCACCACAGATTATTAGGTTATAGAGTACATCTCAGTTGCAATTAGGCATTTGTATGAATTTTGGTTGCATGTCCATATCAGCCTGGTCTTTTGATTCTTTCCTTTCTCATATGCACTGGTATGCATGCTCAAGAAACAGGAGATCAACTACTGGCTATATTAATAAAGCAAAATTAAATAACCAATGTAAACCGTTTTCAAAGAACTTGAGGCTAAGCAAAGAACAAATGCCCCCTCCCCCCAGTAGTGGATTTGACAGCCTGCAGGGAGTTTCTTCTGAAAGTCAAGATTAAAGATTTTAAATAATGCAAAAAGCATGTTAAAGCAACATTATAAAGAGAGTGCTGTTGTCAATAACAATCCTGAGTATATAAGGACTGTGTATGAAAGACAACCACGTTTTTTTATTTACTGATGACGATAGACAATAAATCAGGATTTACATTTTTTAATTAATTGTTAAAATTTGGGATATAGCATATTCAGTGAATCTAGAGATGATATTTTATAAACCATTAAAAACAACAACAACAAAAACTCCCAACCATCCATTTTTTAAGAATGAAACCCCTCATTTGTCTTGGCATATGGCAATACTATAAAGAACAAGAAAGGACTGGATGTTGGAAAGGGTAAGAGGCTTACATCAGGAGAAATACAATTGTAAGATATGTACAGCAACATGAATACAGCCAATAGTAGTGCACATTTCAAAAGAGTAAATTCAGTTATCTCACTACGAAAATATGAGGTGTTTTCATCATTCAGCATTGCATACATATATCAAATTATCACATTGTGATCTATAAATATACACATTATGATTTGTTAATTAAAACCATACTTGCAAAATAACTTTTTTCTAAAGGCTATATGATGGACTCTTTCCCTAAAAATAAGGAATGAATAAGTATACAAAAACCATTTCTATTCTTGGTATTCAGAATTTTAAGCCTTTTCCTTTTGAGGGAAGCCAGTTTTGATATGAACACCATACAACACCCTCTGTTTTACTAGACTGTAAATTTACTCTCCCAACAACCAAACAAAATGTCAGCAGAAAAAAAGTCAAGGCACATGGATGACACAGCATTAACGATGACTAACTCCAGATAGAAGGGTTGCCTGTCATCTTTCCTCTGCATGTGCCAAATGTTCCAGAGTATAAAGCTAGACAGGGAAGGAAACTTACTTAACTTTTAATAAAGTTTGTAACTCTTATTTAATTTGATAGCTGTAATTTTCATTTCTGATACAATCAACAAATAAACAAAGCTCATATAAATACCCAAGCAACCAACCACTCCTATGTCAGAATGCTTGAGACTTGAAGGCAACCCTCGCTAATCTTTTTTTAAATTCATTTTTTAAAATTTAAATTAGAAACAATCTTATTTTATATATCAATCCCAATTCCCTCTCCCTCCCATTCTCCCATGTCCCCCACCGATCCCCCATCCCATCCCCCTTCTGCTCCATAGAAAGGGTGAGGCCTCCTATGGGGGATCATCAAAGTCTGTCACATCATTTGGGGGAGGGCCTAGTAGCATGTTTGATGTCCATTGGAATTCCTGCACCAATGCCACTCATCCCCTATCTATCTGCTTCAGCTCCTGACTTTGTCACATTGCAACCCCTTTTTATTTTTGAAATAACTTCAGACTAATAGGAAACTGTAAAAAAAATAGTGTATCACAGGGCTGGAGAGATGGCTCAGCAGTTAATAACAGTAGCTGCTCCTCTAGAGGACTTGGGTTCAGTTCTCAGCTAACAACTGTCTATAACTCTAGACCCAGAGGCCCCACCACCCTCTTCTGGCTTCCACAGGTACTGCAGGCATGCAGTGTCTTTTTTTATTTTTTATTTTCCAGTTTAAATTTAGATAAGAAACGAGGTTGCTTCACAAGTCAGTTCCAGGTCCCTCTCCCATTCCCTCCCCTCCTCCCGTGCCCTCCCCCTATCCCCCCTCCCCCGTTATCCCCCTCATTCCCCCAGGGAGGGTGAGGCCCTCCATGGGGGTGTCCATAGTCTGTCATTTCATATAGGGCAGGGCCTAGACCCTTCCCCAAGAGTTCAGGGTGAGAGTGCACCTCACATTGTTCTATGGGAGTCCAAAGTCCGTGTGTATACTTGGGATGGGTACTGATCTGCTGCCCAAGGCTCAATAGATTCCCTAGGACTCCTCACTGACACCCAGATTCTGGGGGTCTTGATCAGTCTCATGCTGGATTCCCAGGCTGATGCCTGGGATTCAAGAGTTAACCTTTGTCTGGTCAGCTGTTTCTGGGGGTTAAACCAGCCCAGTCTTAATCCCTTTGGTCATCAGTCCTCCCTCTCTGTTACTGGCTTTCTTGAGTTCAGCTCAGTACTTAACCAAGGGAGTCTGCCTCTTCTTCGATCAGCTACTAAATGAAGTTTCTGTTTCCCAGACTCTCTGGCCATAGGGTTGTAGGCTGGCACTCCCCAGATCTATGTCTAAAATCCATATATGAGAGAGTACATGTCATGTTTCTCTTTTTGTGACTGGGTTACCTCACTCTGGATGGTTTCTTCTAGTGTCATCCATTTGCCTGCGAATCTCATGATTCCATTATTTTTTTCTGCCGAATAGTACTCCATTGTGTAGATGTACCACATTTTCTCTATCCACTCTTCGGGTGAGGGACATCTAGGTTGCTTCCAAGTTCTGGCTAGTTGCATATTCTTTTCTTTTATTTTAATTTTAAATAGCTTGTTTTACATGTCAATCCCAGTTCCCTCTCCCTACCCTCCTCCCACACTCCCCCACCATCCCCTCCATCCTCCCACCCTATTGCCAATTCCTTCCGCATAGGGGATATCTAGAGTCTATCATTTCATTCAGGGTAGGGTCCAGGCACTTCCTAAGAGTCCAGGCAGAGAGAGCAACCCTCTTTGTGTTATGGACACACGATGTCTGTTAGTATTCGAGGGATAAACACTGATCCACTTCTCAGGACCCCATAGGTAGCCCAGGCCTCCTCATTGACTCTCACATTCAGGGGGTCTGGATCGCTCCTATGCTGGCCTCCCAGCTGTCGGTCTGGGGTCCAAGAGCTCTCCCCTGTTCAGATCAGCTGTCTCTGCTGGTTTTGCCAGCCCGTTCTTTGCCAATTTGCTCTTCGCTCCTCTCTCTCTGTCGCTGGGTTCCTTGGGTTCTGTTCAGTATTTAACTGTGGGTGTTTGCCTCTGCTTCCATCAGTCACTGGATGAAGGCTCCAGGATGGTTATAGACATCAAGTTCACTATCAGGCATAGGCATTCGAGGTGGTCTCTACACTATTGCTTAGCTTGCCAATTGGTGTCATCTGTTTAGCTCACTAGAGGTCACAATGGTACCTGATCTGTCTTCTATCCTATGATTCCCTCTTCTCCCTATCCTACCCCCCCCCAGTCCACCTTCCTGTTCCTCCACATCCTACTCTCTCTTCCACTTCTCCCCCTCTCTATTTCCCAGGTCCCTCTCCCCCCCACCCCTCGCCATGTTCCCCATCTATTCAGAGGATCTTGCCTCATTTCTCTTCTCTTGGGTACCATATATATCTTTTAGGTTCTTTCCTGTTTCCCAGACTCTCTGTCAGTGGAAGTACAGACTGGCACTCTCCTGATCCATGTTTAAAATCCACATATGAGTGAGTACATACCATGTTTGTCTTTTTGTGACTGGGTTACCTCACTCAGGATGGATTCTTCAAGTGATATCCATTTACCTGCGAATTTCAAGATTCCATTATTTTTTTTTTCTGCTGAGTAATACTCCATTGTGTAAATGTACCACATTTTCTCTATTCACTGTTCAGTTGAGGGGCATCTAGGTTGCTTCCAGGTTCTGGCTATTACAAATAATGCTGCTATGAACATAGCGGAGCAGATGCCCTTGTTGTATGAATTTGCTTCCTTTGGATATATGCCTAAGAGTGGAATTGCTGGGTCTTGTGGTAGATTGATTCCCATTTTCCTGAGGAATCTCCATACTGCTTTCCAAAGTGGCTGTACGAGTTGGCGCTCCCACCAGCAGTGGAGGAGTGTTCTCCTCTCTCCACATCCTCTCCAGCATAAATTGTCATTGGTGTTTTTGATTTTAGCCATTCTGACAGGAGTAAGATGGTATCTCAGAGTTGTTTTGATTTGCATTCCCCTGATGGCTAAGGATGTTGAGCACTTTCTTAAGTGTCTCTTGGCCATTTTAGCCTCCTCTATTGAGAATTCTCTGTTTAGTTCTGTACCCCACCTTTTGATTGGATCCTTTGGTGTTTTGGAGACTTGCCTACATACAGGCAGGCATGATGCAAATAAAAGTAAAAATCTAAGCACATTTACTTCACTTCCCCAGATGGCAGCAACCTAGATAACCATAGCATGCATTTTACTGCATGGAATGTTATTTTTTTAAAAATGTACACATGTGATACAGTTTCATGGATCCTCTATATGTATCTAACACTAAACTAACCTCTTCTCACAGAATAATTTAGGTCAGCATTTCTCACAGAGTTACTCCAGATTTGTAATTAGTTCTTCTAGGGCTGAGGAGAAAGAAGACATTCCAAGGCCCGTCATTTCATTGTTGCAGAAGCTCTCAGAGTCTCTTCACTGTTAAACAAGCATTGTGTAGCTCCAAGAGCAACATCTATGTAACACTACCCACACCTCACCATCTCCCTGTTTGTGAGTGAGGAGAGAGATGTATTTTTAAGTCATCATTTTAAGAAGGCTACAGTCTTTGTAGGTAAGCCTGAAATGTGTGGATTCAACAGCAGGCACACAACGGGCAATGGCTCACTAAGTCAGAGTACTGGGACAATTTAAGCAACACAACCACTCCACAGATTTCTATATCAAGTTGCAGCTTTACCTAAAGGATTCAGCAGTCATCACAAAACTGTCACTGCCGATTCAAAATCTCCTTCATTAAAGACACACATCTGTAACTCAGAAAGAGAATCTTTACCATCCTCTTTTCTTTAAACAGCATTTACCATCTATCAGTCACTGCCTTATTTTGAGTCATTTGGCACCAACTCCACCGTGCTGCCGTTTGACGTGTCCACCTATTTCCCTTATGTGCTGAAACTGTATCTCATAGTGCTCTTCATAGGTAAGTAGACATCTTGTTTTTGCATTCTTGTCGGTTTATACTGTCACTGACCTAAACAGATTGATAAATGCTGGGTGGGGCTCGCTAAAAAGGAAGCCCAACACAGTGAACTAAATAGCCTGGTTAAGACCCTTGATGCCTCCTGTGAGGCATCATGAAATCAAGTATTACAATATTTCATTGTACAGCAGGAACAATTTTCTGCTACTAGCAGAAAATGTGCTTGCAAGATGCGTGACATACAGACATTTTCTCACCACGAAGACATACCTATAAAACAAAATGCCAAACACAAGGGTTATCTTTTTGTTTTTCATTTATACCCATTTTGTTTCCGTTTGGGCTTCATATGCTAGCATTCCCCAGCAGGCAAATAGGAAGTTGGTGATAAAGGCTCAAGGAAAACTGAGAATGAAATCTTGCAGTTGTCGGGAGGGAGTAGAGTGACGGCTTCATGCTGAGAGCACTTGCTGCTCTTACAGAGGACCTGGGTTCAGTTTCTAGCCCCCACACAGCAGTTCAGAACCATCTATAATTTCAGTTCGAGGAGAGCCACACGCTCTTCTGGCAGCAGGCATGTATGTGGTGCACATATAACATGCAGATAAAACACTTATACACATAAGTCAGGCTTAGTGACACACGCCTTTAATCCCAGCACTTGGGAGGCAGAGGCAGGTAGGTCTCTATTAGTTTGAGGCCAGTCTGGTCTATACAGTAAGTTCTAGGACAGGCAAGGCCACATAAAAAGATGCTGTCTCAAACACACACACACACACACACACACACACACACACACACACACACACGCATGCATGCACCCACCCAGCCAAAGTTACACTTGTATGGGATTTCAAGATGGCTGAGTACAGGCATCAGTATTTTGCCCACAAAGAAAACACAAGCAATAGGCATGGATCTGCCTTAGGCATGGATTTTCATTTTGAAGAGAGTACAAGACAATACAGGGCAAAACTAGAACACTGTAATATTAAAAGATCCGGCATGGCAATAGACACAAAATGAGTACTCGCCATGCTGTCTACACTACCAGGAGAGAAGAAATACCTTCTGGGTAAGGGTGAATGAACACAGCAAGCTTTGCTGAACAGGGGATTAGACATTTTGCCCTCTGAGACCAGGTATGGTCAGTAGAGTATAGAATCAAAGCATTGCTGGGACTGACCACCCCTCCCCACACATAGACACATGGATGCCTGCCACTTACAAAGTAAGACAGACTTGTGTGGTTCTATTGCTTCTCTGACCAAAGGGGTATAGACTGCAGTGGCCTTGAGGCTTCAGCCAGTGCTCCGGTCTACAGGGCACATGGCCACAAAGAAACTTAGGTGCTAGTAGCACCCTGCTTCCACTTTCTCCCACAGACAAGCAGAAGGCCACTGAGGAAGTCTAAGGGAAAAATTTCTTGAAACCAATGGAAATACAGAATCCCAAACCTGTGAAGATACATCAAAAACAATACCAAGAATAAAACAGTGAATAAAAACACAAAAAGCAGAAGTATTTCAGACAAACAACCATGCATTTCAAGGACTAAAGAAAGCAATTATAAACCACATCCCAAATAACTGTATGGAGAGAAATAAAAATCAGAACAGAAGTAAACAGGAAATAATAAGTGCCAAGGGTCAATGGAATAAAGCTAGTAATTTCCTTGAAAGGACAAAAAAAAAAAGTGGACAAACCTTTCAGTTAGAATACCAACCCCCACAGCAGATTCAAAGAAATAAAGTTAGATATGTTAAAGGAGATGTTACAGCCCATAGCACAGAAATACAGATGATCATTTGGGATTATTTTTCAAAACTACCTGTTACATTGGAAAATAGAAACATTTCTAGATACAAAAGACCTACCAAAATCCAACAGGATATAGAAAAACCTGAATAGGCTAGTAATGAGTAAGTAAGCTAGTAATACATCTCCCAATGAAGAGAAGCCAGCATAAGACAGCTCAACCGATGAATGTTACCAAGAGTAACCAGTACCAATTCTTCTCAAATTAATAGGCCATCATTTAGGCCAGCATTACCAAAATTTAATAGGATATGAAGAGGAACTATAGACCAACAGCCCCATTCTACATAGATGTTGAAATCTTCAACGAATACTAGTAAATCAGAATGATCATACACTGTAACTAGGTAGGCTTCACTCCCAGAGGCAAAAATGGTTCAACCTCTACAAATCAATAAATTACCATATGATATAAAAAGTCATGTGAGTAGACATAGAAAAATCATTTGATAAAGTTCAACATCCATGATAAAATACAAGAAGAAGTTTACGGATGACAAACCCACAACTAATATCATATTGAATGTTGAAAAACAAACTATTTCCTCTATTATGAGGAACAAGATGTCCACTTTCCTTGCTCTTTTCCAGTATCCTATTCCTTTTAGTCAGAGCAATTAAACAAGATAAAGAAAAGGTAGATCCATAGGAAAGAAAGGAGTCAAATTAGTCATGTTGTTGTAGAGGCATAGAAAATCTTAACACTGGGTATAATGGCTCACACCTGAAAACTTAGCACTAGGGAGGATGACATAGGAGCTTATCAGTTTGAGGCCAGCTTGAGCAAAACAAACAAAAAACAATAGGTGTGTTGGGGACAACTAAAGACTTCACCAGAACTACTGAGAGAGAGAAACGTGGAGTGCTAGGATAGAACCAACAGAAGAAACCTTCTATGTCACAGCACCTAAGCTGGACATGACGCACTCCATAGCATTCTCTGACTCAAAGTTCATCCAAAACAACTCTATCTACCCAGGGCTTTATGCTTCTGATTTCTATTTTTAAAATGCCCTTCCACACATAATGAATTTGCTAAGGAAGAATTTAAGAACAAAATCCAAATCCCAATAACCACAAAACACACCTATGAACAAACTAAGAAAGTACAGCTTCTCTACACAAAAGATACAAAACTGGTGAGAGACTGAAGATGGAAAGAGAGAGTAAAAGATGGACAGGCAGCCTATTTTCATGGATTGGCAGAAATCATTCAATGTCCATATTGCTCAAAGTGACCTAGGGATTCATACAATCTCCATCAAAACTGTTGACATTTTGAGGACTAAGTCAGTGGGTAAAGAGCTGTGCTGTACAAGCATGGGGACCTGAATTTAATCCGCAGCATCCACCAAAAAGCTGGGCATGGCCTTACACCTATAACTCTCAGGTTGCTGGAGGTAGACACAAGAAAATTGCTGGGGCTTGCTGTCTGCTAGCCCAGCCCCAGGTTCAGTGAGAGACTGTCTCAGTGGGACAAGGCAGGGAGTGGTAAAGCCAAGAGTAAGTCTTCCTCTGGCCACTGCATTTGCACACACGGTATGTGCACTAGCACACACCATGTGCAGGTCCCATAAACACATGATCACACCTAAGACTTAGGAAAATAATTTTTAAAAGAATAAAACAAGAAATAGCATGCTTCACAGAACAGCAATATAAAGTTAGTATGCAAGCCCCAAAACCCTGAAGCAGAGAACACAAAGCTGAAGACATCACAATACCCGACTTCAAGACACAAGGCTCAGTAACAAGCAGTATGGCATTGGCATAAAAGGCCAATAAAAAAGAACTAAATAAGCCAACAATGAGAAAACACACGAGAGAAACACATGGTGCTGGGAAAACACGATACACACAAGCAGAAAACTGACACATGTCTTGACCCTTATCCTACACAGAAATCAACTTAACTATCAAAACTCTGACAGTACCCGTGGAAGACTTCAAGATACAGTACAAATGATAATTTCTTGAGTAAGATGTCAATAGTTCAGGAAACACAAGGAAGAATTAATGGCATTAATGAGATGACATTAAATTAGAAAGATAAGCAAATAATAGAGCAAGAGAATAACCTACAGAGTGGGAGACAATAGTCACCAACTATTTAGAAGATAGAGACCTCAAAAAAACATAATATGAAATAAATAATACAATTAGAAAATGTGTTTGTGATCTGAATAGACAAAGTATATGTTTAAACAGTCCATTACTGTGAAAAATACATTTCATTTTACTAACCATCAGGGAAACACAAACCATGGGCTATCATTTCAGTCTAGTCAGATTGGCTGTTGTCAATCAAACAATAACAAAAACAAATGCTAGTGAACATGGGGAGAAAAAGAAACTACTGTTGTTGGGAATGCAAATTAGTGTGGCTACTACTGCAGCCGTGTAGAAGTTGTGGGGGAAAAAACTAAAAATAGAATGACCACATGATCCAGCTGCCCTAAAGAGGGCAGAGGGAAGTGAAGTTAGCAGCCCATGAAAGAGAAGGCGCACCCGTGATAATTGTGGCACTATTTACTACAGAAAGAAAAGGAACTAGCTGAAGAGTTTGTCAACATGGATGGATAGAGAAAATATGGTACATGCTCACACAGTGGGCATTTTGCCAGTAAGAGTAATTCCTGTTATTCTAGGACAATGAATGGAAATGGAGGGCATGTCTAGCTAGAATGTTCTTGCTTACATATGATAAATTAAAAATTGACAAGAAAGTTGAATTGTGATTATGAGGCGTTAGAAGAGGGGCACAGAAGGGAGGTGAGATGTGATCAGTGCATGCCACATGTATGTGTGGAAATAACCACACGGAACTCACTAATACGTACGGTAACATATATAGGAAATCCGCAATCAAAGCAATTTAATCAAATGTAGTGTGGGCTAATCGAAAATCATATTTGAACAAACTTAATCAACTAACTTTGTTTTCCAAGAAACTTGGAAAAAGACTTCTATTATTTACTCTTCCCTTCACTAATTATGAGGGTAGTAATCGTATCTGAGAGATAACAGCTCTCAAGTGTAAGAATACCACATACAAAGAAGAAAAGCAGTTCAGAGGCAGTGAGAAAAGCCATCAGAGAAGTAGGGAAGCAGCAGAGTGAGCGGACAGGCTCTTGCTTGCACTCCCCTCCTAACATGAAATCTGGATGGCTCTTCAGTGCTCTTCTTGAGTCTCCTTTGCAAGTGTGTTGCTCCGCCTAGAATTCCAGCAGCCCTCTGCCTGTGTCCCAAAACTACAGCTTTTCAAAGAAATGGCTAACCCACCTCACTTCCTTTTGCCCCGTAGGTATGTATTTCACCTTCAGCCATCTTTATATGGAAAGAAAAGATGTCCTCAGAGTCTTTTCTGTCAAACAGAAGAAGATGTAAGGCAGCATTCCTGCCCATTGCACAAGAGAGAAGACGGGCTGGCGGGCCAACCTGCAGCATATACAACACTAGGCATATGCTAGAGAAAAAGAATCCAGAACTTGACAACAACCTGTTACATGAATTACTGCACACACCAACACAGTCTGTTCCTCATCGACTGTGCTTTACAAACAAATCCCCCCCCCACACACAGCACATTTTGCTGCACCAAGGCTGTGGACTTGACACAAGTCACATTTATACTGTGTGAAGTCTGAATGTCTTTGTGTGAAGTTAATGAGAAATAGATTCAGAGGGGTAGGTTCAATTGATTTGAGAAACCAATTGATTAACTTCTGCAATCACAACTAGCAGATTTATAGGAAGGGAAGGCTGTAAAGTATCCTCTTTAATTCTGGGATAACATGTTCTCCACCCTTAGAGCCAATCACCTTGAACATTGCATACACTTGGATACTCTACAGACAAATGCCCCTGCCCTTAGAGTCAATACCCTTGAACATTACATATACTTAGATACTCTATAGACTAATGCCCCCACCCTTAGAGTCAATCACCTTGAACATTACATATACTTACTCTGCATATTAATGCCCCCACCCTTAGAGCCAATTCCTTTGATTATTACATATATTTTGATACCTATCAAACATTTTTCTGTGTCTTAGCTCAGGCTGCTGCTGTGTCATAAAGTGCACCCCCCCTCCCATAGGACTTGATTGTCAAAACTACAGAAATTTATGTTTTACAGTTCTGGAGGCTTGGACATCCAAGAGCAAGATACTAGCCAATTCAGTAAGATTTGTGTAGATGTAAACTATAGATCTGAGCTGATCAGCTACTCTGGCAGGAATACTGCTAGTTTGAGCTGTAGTTAATAGATAGATTTCTTGGAACTTGACAGAATGAACCCTTGAGCTCTTTGGGGAAATATATATATATATATATATACATACATACATACATACATACATATATATATATTCATTCTTCTCTAAGACCGGGGAAGGGGTGCTCTGAATCAAAGATGATCAGAGCTGCCTCCTAAGTTGCATGAGGGAAACTTATCAACTCTAATTTGTGAGCTGCCATGTGGTTGCTGGGAATTGAATTCAGGACCTCTGGAAGAGCAGTCAGTGCTCTTAAGCCCTGAGCCACCTCTCCAGCCCTGTCAACTCCATTTGCATGATGATAGGTTCCCTAACAAAACGGGGGCTTCCATTCCAGATGCCCTTTCTTCCTCAGCTCTGACCACAGTCACCTTTATCAAACCCACCTTAAAGCTCTCCCCCCTTCCATTTCACTGCAAAGCTCCTCTCCATCTACTCTGTGATTGCATCAGTGTCTCGCCTCCTGTATCCACTGCTCTCTTAGTCTGGATTGCTGCCACCAAGTAATATTAAAACGAGTGATTCTGGAAATCAAAAAGCCCACCACCAAGATGACAAGTGACAAATGATTCTTGAGTGTGGGATGCAGATGGATGCCTTCTTGCTGTGCTCCCACATGGTAGAGAAAGAAAGCACCTCTCCCAGGTCCCTTCTTGTGAACTTCATCCCTACTTACTTCGCAAAGGCCCACCGCCAATAACTTCCACTACAAAAGAAGTTGACATCTACTAATTCAAGTCATAAAATGTTTTTAGCTGCTCCTTGGTTAAAATGGAGCCATTACATTATGACTGTAACATGATTTTTAGCCAATTGTGCAGATACCTGCAGCTTTGCCAAATGCACACTTTTAAAATCTGTGTTTGGATACTTCCTTGAGGCATAATGTAGCTTTAACCCTATGCTGGTGCATCCCAAAATACTGGTTGTCTTGGCAACTTGTGTTTTCAAAAGCTGACAAGAGAGAACTTAAAACAAAGACCCCCCTTTATATAGGCAAGAACATGGTCAAAAAAAAAAAAAAAGGCAGCAACTCAGTTGTGTAAAACAAAGTGGAGCATCTTGAAGGAACCATTTGATTCTTATCTGGAGATCATACAGGTTACCAGGAGGCTATTATTATTCAGTTGGCATACCTCTGAGCTTAATCTTATTTAGAATCCTTAGAGGCCCAATAGGCAGAAAAACCACGTGACTTCCAACCATGACTGCTCAAAACAGAAAGAACTAGGAAAGAGGAGACTGTGGATTACTTTATTTCCTTCTTTTCGTAAACTTCTGTTTTCTTGTGAAGGACAGGAGGAAATACCAGGTTCGAAAAGAAATTGGGCTGAAAAGACATGAGAAATCTGAAATTTGAAGTCTAGGCAGATTCTTCCTTTCCTTGGCATCAGCAAATGTTGGGTTGCTGATTCACGATGTCTCCAGTGCCCACTTCCTCTTCAGTACTCATTGTCTCCTGAGTTCCCAAGGTACCCTGGAATCCAGAGCTCTTTAATGTGTGCAGACAAGCTTGGTCTGCTAGGCTAGTCTATCAGACTTCCCAGGACCTGGTGTTTCTCTCAGCAGATCTGCATCTTAAAGTGGGAGCCAAGGTGTCTGATGCAGTAGCAATAACTTTGGATCTTAGGCTCTAGGACCTTGGTTTTAGGTAAAACTCTCCCACTTTCTAGATATTTTTGCTCCGTTTTAAACCAGAAAACAGTGCTGCCTATGGTATTGTTGAAAGACTCCAAATAAGCTAAGGCAAATGAAAAGTCTAGTGTGCTCATGGTCAGGCACCCCAGAGTAATTGTAGAAGACTTTCAGTCTCTAGTTTAGGGAGTGTACAATAGCGCCCGTGGGAGGAGAAAAAAGCGCTGGTGTAAATAGCTACCCCCTTTTTCCTCGGTTGGCTTGAACTTATTTCCCTGTAGTCCAACTTGTAAAGAAATTATATATCTGGAAAATAAAAGTAGTGCTACTTTGAACTTGGCAGGTGCACTTTGGAACTAGAAGGTATGTGCTACCTGTGAGTAGAAGTCGTAAGGTGTTTGTGAAGCATAAGGCACTGTCTGAGTGGCAGACAAAAGCACCTCCCATCAGTGTCACAACTTTCTTCCTAATGATTCCGTTTGTACATTTATGATGAGTTAAGACTGAACCCAGTTGAAGTCACAATAATTAGTGAGCATCGAAATTAAGATGCGGCCTGAGTCTCCACTCATTGAGGTGGCTGAAATTGTGATACTATCACAAACCTTGCACGGATCTCTCCGGTGAAGTGAACTGTACTTATAAAAAAGACTGATCTACTGAGGAGATTTTTATCCTTTTTGCTAGTCTAGCATCCTACTCTTTCTTCTGGGGAAACTTAGTTCCAACTGTTTGCTTGGGGCTGCCTCCCCTGTGACTTAGGCCTGGCCACCGAGTGTATCCCACCTGCCAGGGCCCAGATATTTGTTTAGAGACCCATATGGATGGCTTCTAGAGTTCTCACAGCACTGATTCTCCTGTGCCTGTGGGGAAAAGAACTACTTTACCTTTGAGACTGCTGGCAGACACCTTGCCAGGTAGGAGGCAAGATCTCCAGAGGAAAAGATCACAGCATCACAGGATTCATCAGACCAACACTGATTTTCTCTGTGAACCAATAGTCTCCTTTGCAGCTACTGCTTTTGTGAATGGGGTAACTTTCACTTGTACTCATCACAACCATGCCCAGGAGTTATACCTATCACTGATGAGCCTAACCTGGGTACCAGTTGGTGTCATGCCTAGTGATTTGAATGTGCCTAGCAGTTTTCTTAAGTGTGTTTTGTCAACAGGAATAAAATTTGTCTAACTCACTGACTCAATGACTTCTTCTGTGGATTCATGGGAAATAGGTTATACCCTCGTCACCTCTATGGCTTACTTTTACTGGCAACGTCACTTAAAAATCAAAGTCACACTGCACAAATTTCACAAGGTGTTTTACTAGAATTTAAGGGACAGAAAATATAATTTCAGTTTTCACAAAGAAAAATGAACTCTGGTAATACAGAAGTCATGTTCCTATTTCAGTTTCCAATACCTGGGTACCCAAGTAATGCACCCCTTTCTTGGCCACGCACAAGTTGAGAGGTCAGTATGGAGCCACCATCCCATGATGTCCAACTAGGAGGATCAGTTCTCACCAACTCAGACACCAGTCCTGAAAAACGTGTTTATCCGGTCTGCCTCATTCCGTGGAGAATGTTGTTGGTTCCGTGACTGTCACCAACCATATGCTCTGGTCCACACAGCCTTCTTCTTAAACTCTGGAAGAACTCTCAAGGACAGCAGGGTGGCTAAGAGGACAAGAACACAGGGCACACAGATGTGTTGGACAGAGCCGTGCTGTGTCTGAAAGGGTCATTGTGATCAAAGAAGGTGTCAAAACAGCTTGGCACTGCCTCACTTGACTAGTCTTCAAGACTAGGTAATGATTTCCCGCAAGTCTTGGCAGACTTTAGAATTTTAATAGCAACCCCCGCCCTCCCAAAACCCACAGGTTTAAAGGTCACAAAGGTAGTTGTTGTTTTATCTTTTTATTTTTCTTTTTTGAAAGTTATCTTATAATCAGTAAACAGGAAAGTTTGCAGAACTATTGAAGTTTGGCATGCTAGTGATATTGTTTTTCTTAATGCCATTACTATTCACATGAGCATGTTCCCTCTGTAACAATTTAGCTTAAAGTTGTGTTCTTTTATACATAAACACAATTATCTCCATTAAATTTTTAATTAAAGAAAAAAATTACACACCTATAAGGCTGAGTTCATGTGCTCAGTGAAGCAAGTGTACCAACACTAAATTTTACTTGGGCACGTGTCTGTTGTGTTATGGATCCCAAGGAGCAATTTAAAGTAGAGAAATTCTGAGTAATATAAAATAATAATCCTTTAGTAATTACTACATATTTCTTGTCTTATTCTGGAATATCAATATATTCAGATATTATGTAAAATAAAAGCATGTGAAGGAATGTAAGGAGCCCATGTCATTCCAGTAAGCCAATGACTTTGTAATCTAGTAAAGGTGTGATTCCTTAAGCCAAGTGATTGTTTTCTTTATTGATAGCAGCTGTTAGCTTTGGAACTGAAGATAGCATATGTTTGAAACAATCACCCAAACTCCCTGCAGCACACAAACAAAACGTAGGGAGTCTTATCAGCAAGTCCCTAGAAACGGATAAAGTGAAAATATCTTCATCATGGACCTGATTCCCAATGAAGCCCTCTGCTGTATTAGAATCATGTTCAGGCACTGACCCCCATCTACATGTTTCCCATTCACGCAGAATTCATAGCTGTTTAGTAATAAAAATATTACCTATATTAGTATCTATTAATATTTATTAGTCTTAATATTCCTTAAAGTAAAATATGACTCATACTATGACTCCAAGCTAGATAAGTTATCACAGGCTAGGCCAATGGAATGGCACTTCTGAGTGCAATCAATGTCATATTACGTGCAAACAACACAGTAGTAGCCATTGGCTCCAGAACCCTAAATCCTAAGACACAGAAAACAAGTACAAGCTATGTCAGATCTTGAGGGCAATGGTCAAATCACACCTCATGTCTGAGTTTAGAAAACTACAAAACTTTCAGAGAGATCTTCCATATTTGAGGTTTCCTAAAGTCATAATGCGCCAGTCTGTGAAGAAGTATAAAACAATGAGAACCGTGGCAATGCTCAAAAGCATGGGTGATGCCTAGCTCCCTGGGCAAAATACTAAGAAGCATCAACTATGAGTAGAAGCTAGAATAAGAATGTGTTTTAAGATTTAAACGTCATGTTAAAACATGAAAGGTGAAATTAGAAATTGGAAACTATGTGTTCAGCTACGTTCTTGTATATCACAGCCAGCAATGGGTGGTTTTACCCCACACTGGGCAAAAAGCATGAAGAAATACCTTTCAAAAGATCCTTGGACTTTGCTGCAAAGGCTTCGTTAGGAATTTCCACGATGCTAAATAGCCAGTCGATGAACTGGGGTGAAAAAGAACATTGTCAGTGAAGTAAATCCCACCATCAGCATGAGATTAGCCAGTCTCTTGGGCCTGCGTGTAGGAGAAGCACAATAGTCTTTCATCAATCCCTGCTGGGGCTGGAGAAGTAGAGATGAGATGGGAAGTAAGACTAACATCACAGGAGGAGGGGTGCAGAAGCGAGACAGGGGTGAAAGGCACAACTCCCAAATCAGAGGGCTCACAAAGGCCGCTTCTAGCGCATACAAGGCCTCGTATAGAGGAGTAAGCCAGAAGGGCCCAGAGGGCTTTTGTTTATCATTAACATTATCTCATGAGTTCTAAGGCCTCGTATAGACTAGTAAGCCAGAAGGGCCCAGAGGGCTTTTGTTTATCATTAACATTATCTAGTCACCCTGAGAGGCTCAGAGAGGTCAGTGGCCTTGTCCAAGTCACCTCCCTCTGAACAGCAGAGTCAAGATTTGAGCCTAGCTGTAAAGCTATTTTCTCTGCCTCATGCTACCTCTCACTGGCTCCATATGCATTCTGGCCAAGGATAACAGGCTCATAAGTTTTTCTTCCTTAATTTGTTTAATAACATACTAATAGATTAATAGTCACTATAAACACATAATCAATTAAAGATGTCTATCCCGTATCCAAAATGAACAGTTGTCCCAGTCTGGAAAAACCAGAAGAGACTACATTTATTTTGGCTAAGAGTAGAATAAAATGCAAAGCTTGGGGCAGCTTCCTAATTCTTATCTGACTTAATTGTGAAAGGCCTTTTAGCTGAGACAGTGATGTTAGGTGTAGCTAAGCCCATGGTTCAGAATGCCTTTAAGGATTGATGTTCATATTTGAAGAATAAGCAGCAAATTATTAGTTTAAAGCTTTCAACACCATAAAAAGCCAGTTTTGATTACATGGGATTAAAAATAACAATCTTCCAATTAGATGTATTAAAGACAGGATGGGGCGCCAGATAGAGCAAAGCAAAGGAGACAATATTTCCATGTGTTCTGCTGAGTCTGCACACTTGAGGGCTAACTCCCAAAGTGCTTCCTACGACATGGGCTTTTCTGAGGTCAGGAGTCATGGTACTGGGCTGTGACAAAACCCTGTTCAGGCTCTAGAATAGGCCAGCTATGGCAGGCACACACAGTGACTCTGTGAGACAGAATAGGCCAAATGGACCCTTTACTGTGTTACAGTAAGACCTACACTTCCCCGGAGCATTTCTCTGAGTCACTCCTGAACCTGAGCTCATGTCCCTCTCCTACTTCTCGCCTCATATCCCACACTGCATACCATCCTGAATCTTGAGTTTGTCTGCCTATGTGCCCTGACTTCAAGGACTGGAAATAAAACATATTCTTTCCACCCGGGATCAAGAATGCATGTGCTCTCAATAAGCGAATGAAGATGCAAGCTTTATCTCTAGCTGCCCCCTCACCATAAATGAGTTGTTGCTGTGGTCAGTGTTGTTTCTAGACAACAGATACCCTGAGCGTTGGCCTCTAGGACATGGCATGAGAGCAATACATGGGGTTGAGTATGAAAGCCCTTGGTGTGATCCAAGCTTCGCCTAATTCCCACTTCTATCCTAGAGCAGCAACTGCTGGAGACAAAAGCCTGCCTGCCCTGCTAAGCAGGTGGCTGCCACCCCTCACCTTCTGGGTCTGTTCCTTCCATGGCTCTTTCTGTAGCAGCAGTAGCATGCTGCCGGGAAGGAGAGTGAGAACCTCTTGCACAGTGACTCTATGCATCGGACTCCTGCCAAGCAAGGCTGCTGCTGGCCCACCAGGGCCATTCTCCCGATGCCATGGCAACCAACTGGCACTGAGGCCAAGGAGAAGTGGGGCCTCGTGGTCTGCCCACGCCACCACTGCAGCTGCAAATATAAGCAGCAAGTAGTCCAAGGCCTGTTGAGAAAATAGAAGCAACGAGAGATCATATGTTTTATTCAAAGTGACACAAGTTCACAAGCACAGGCTCCACCGTGGTGCAGGCTGTCTTCCCATTCTCTCACCACTCCTGCTGCCCCAGAAGAGGAACTGCGCTGGACAGCAAGCTCAGTTCCAAGCTGACTGTAGAGCCTCACCGCGATCTGGAAGGTTCCTGATTTTCCCTTCTGTGAGACTGGATTATTCCTCCAACGTTTCAAGAGAAAATTCATTCTTAATTATGTCGAGATCTAAATACCCCTCCATTTTCTGGTATTTTTAAAGAGACGGATAAACTAAGAAAGGTATTTGTTATATGGACAAAACTGATTTTTAAAAATATGAAACATCTGCTTTTATTTTTAAACACTAAAAAGTTTTATCTTTTGGCATTAAAAAATTCTGTCTGGAATCCATTCATCCTTCAGACTACATTAGACACTTGTAAAAGATTTAGACATGGTAATGGAGACATTTCCAAGATGCTGAATTACTGTGATTTCAATTATACTTTTTCCAGCTAATTTGCATGCTAAGTGTTTTGAGATTTTTGTAAAAAAAAAAAAAAACAGAAAGTTAATAAAAGCTCAGGAAACGGGGGAAAAAAGAGACTGCATTAGCTTTAAAAGGTTTTTTTAAAAAATATTTTTCAGTCTCTTAAAATCCTAACTGTTGAATTAAAATTTTAATAACTTCAGCGTGGTGGCACACGCCTTTAATCCCAGCACTGGGAAGGCAGAAGCACATGAATTTCTGTGAGTGAGGCCAGTATGGTCTATAGATCGAGTTCCAGGACAGCCAAGGCCACACAGAGAAGCCCTGTCTTGGGAGAAAAAAAGTAATTCTCAAAAGACAGTCCCGAGAATCCCCAGAAACACAGCAGAGTCCTTGGGGGCATCAAGAGTTT